AATGATTGGAACCCCAGAGATTTGAACCCGGAACCTTTAGTCATTGAGTTCAATACTCTACCACTAGTCCACATGCTCCTTGCTTTGGCGGTTGAAACAGATACATTCATCATATTCCCAACCTCAACCGATAAATCAAGTAGCCCGTGGACTAGTTGTAGAGTACTAAACTCAATGACCAAAAGCCCCAGGTTCAAATCTCTGGGGTTCCAACAATTGAGGTTGGGTATGACTGGCTGATTACGGCTAATAAGCCAGAAATAGCCATTCCGGTCTCCTTTTGCTTTGTCGGATCCATTTCATCATATCATCCTAGTCACTATGTGACGGTCTGGCGGGTTCACGTTGTGAGTTCCCGGGCAAAGCGGAACTTAATTGTACCTCTACTAGATCGGCAAAACACATACATTCAACATAAACCTATATCAGGGGAATAATTGAAGAAATTATTAAGTGCACACAATGGAGTTAAGTGACTGGGCCATAGCGTTTTATGGTCAAAACCGACATTGCAAGGAGCATTTGGGTCGAAGACAGTAAAATACTGTAGAATGTATTACCGGCAAACGTTAGGGAGTGCAGAATACGCGTTTTTGTAGCTTATTGGCTGTCGTCGGCTGCAACTACCCAACTCCAATATAGCCACAGGAACTGCCGCTACACTCGAGTTTCGAACACGCGACCAGTGAGCTAGAGACGAACATCCTATCTACTGAGCCAACGGGTCGACGTCTTTGCCGGTTGTCGATCGGGACATAGATTAGTACATAGGTGTACACCGATCTGGTCCAGGATTCACCAACCCTGGCTGTTTCGTCTGGCGAGGACTGGACACTTTCAGTATACCCATGAATACCCATGTAATGCCCATTCTACAAAGATGTTATGCCGTACTTCCGACATAACTGGCACCTATGTCATATATAGGTCTATATAGTATACAATGTGATCTTTTCAGGAATAAGAGTAATCCAGACACTTTTTCTATTCACAAACTAACATTCGTTTAGAAGATTATAGTTCCTTACCCGGCTAGAACTTTCCGGATTGGTTCTAGAGTTCCAGACTTGTGGAATTGGATACCAGTAAGCTCGTCCTGAGAGGTCCGCCACACTAAGGTCGATCAACACCTAAAAAGCGAAGAGAGTTATGGTGACTTTGAATTCAAGCCGTTTATATCTTGAAGGAGATAGGAAAAAGATTATCTCCGCTAATATTAAACCAGAAAACTCAAGCGATTGGTAGAAAGAGGGCCACTAAGTAACGTGCATTACGGACTGCCGTCCAACTGGACCCTCAGCTAGCATGTTTCTAGTTTCATAGAAACAGAAAACTTGAAGAACAGGGTTAGTGGTGTATTACTTAATTACCAAAACACCTTCAGGAATAGCTGAATGAGGAAGGGGCATCTACTTTGATTAATTGTGTGGTGCAATAAACGAGTTGCTAGAAAAAATGTCTTTAAGATTCTGGCCATACAAAATACCGTACTAAATCTGTGGGTAAATGCGAGTATACTGATTCCAGCGGCCAAATCTCGGTAACCGCTTCTACTGTCATACACCCGGCCTGGTTTGAGGAGGGACCAGTCAATCTCTGATACATATTGACGGCGAGTTTATACTAGGTCTTGGCGTAATTTGTCCACGTTAACAGGGAAGAGAGAATGTGGCCAGGAATGAATGCATTTTCAACTGTAGTCAGTCAGACTGGCATCTGAGGTAGACTACGTAAATCAGCTTAGTAAATGCCACCAATCAACTTAAACTTAAGAATATACAAGCTTTTCTGAAGGCAACCAAAATTCATGGAAGCTCTTTGGAGTTTTAAGGAAACAGGCGTTACGTACCTCACCCACAAGAGCTACATGGTCATTATTGGAGTCGAATACGGCCACTTCTAGTTCATGGGCATTGACATCCTCCCTTGCGAAGTCGTTGTAAGCGAAGGTGTGCACCCACACTGGGTTGTTGGTTTGCGGTATCACTCGAGTAAACTGCCGTGCCACTTTGCTGGAAAGGCGGAATTTAAAATAGTAGTGGTAGTAGTCAGCAGAACTCTGCGGTACAGCAAAAGGCTTTTAAAAGTTTGGCGCTGAGGTTTTGCAATCCCTTAGGTAGCTACGCAAGTGTGGCAGCACCCACACAGACTGTGTTTGAACAAAATTAACATATTCTAACTGTCAGATTACTGACACAGAAGTCTGGGGTAAGATAACACTGATATTTATCCAGCGAGGAGGCTGGAAAGACTGCGTCTTGATACCGGATTATGGATCCTGAGCAACACCGAACGTATGCTACATAAGCTTAACGGCAACATTCCTCTCGTTAAGTAATCCATTTCGTGAAATATGAACCGAAATTCTGATACGCAAGTTCGAGTAGGAAGGGTTACTTAGTAAGGACTGTAAGATAAGTAATATTGAGGCATAATCCCGTGATACTTCAGGCGCGCTAGAGTCTTGGCGTTCTAATGTACTGCTTTTTGGCCGCCCACAAAAACAATATTCGGCAAAAATACCAACTTATATAGTATGCATATTCTATTGAGCTTCGACGCCCTTATAAACGCAAATATATTTTTAATAAAGCATGCCAAAATAGCGCTTTTTGTACTTTTTTTTCAATGACATACGCAAATAAAGGACACATTTAGGTTTTAAAAAGTTTTCCAATACCCGAATAATTTTGAGCCTGAACCGTCACTATATTTGCATTTAGGGAGTTCAGCCTACAAGCAGTATATTTTGCGTGTAGAGAAAAGCCTGCCTCTATGTTATTAAGAAGATACCATTAATTGTTCACAAAATTTTGTTACGGACATTAACTACTTTGCATATTGAAAACAGGCAAAAACAGCAGAGTTCATTGATATCAACAAATTTCGTGACAGCTCATCAGCTGCTTCTTGTCAAT